AACTGCCTTTAAGTGCCTTAGTCTTATTCTGTACATCAGAGCTATTTTCATCATACAAAAGCCAAGATTATTCTGATGTCTAGATTGCAGGAAAGAGAAACTGAGAAGTGTAAAGTCTGCAAATATCCCACTTTAAACAATAATAATAATAATCCTTGCATTTGATACAGCGCCTTATCACGTCTTTGAGACGTTTCAAAGCGCTTCACAGGACAGACACACTGTAACATGAATTGACCGTATATTTTCAGAGGGTTAAAAACTTGTTCGAAAAGCGTCCTCGAAAAAAAGCATTCCGCACAATTCTCAATCACATTCCTGCCTTTGTTCCCTTCAAAGATTTTCTCCATAACCTCTTAACAGCCTCATAAATCCAGCATCTATGTATTTCCTTTCTAAACGTTCCCTTGATCGATTTTTGCCTCTAAAGCCTTCTATGCGGTATAATTATTGAACGAGGTCCCTCCTTGAGCTTGCTGGTTATTGACAATTTTTAACACATTCCAGGCAGTTTCACATTGGCTTTAGACTCCAAAGGATGGTTTTATCTGCCCTCTCCTCTGACCCCCGTAAACTGGGTTCAGATTCTCCATTCCCGCCAAGAGAGGGAGGAATCTTTCACCTCATCCATGCTGTTTGGATTGAAACCCATCTCCCAGAAAGGCGACAGACCTCATGCAGATGCACTTCATCACTCAGTCATTGAAACATAGAAATAGGAGTTGGCCATTCAGCCCCTCGAGCCTGTTCCGCCATTCTGTATGATCATGGCTGATCTGTACCTCAAGTCCAATTGCCCGTCCTTGCCCAATAGCCCTTGATATCCTGACCCAACAAATATCCATCCACCTCAGTCCTCCTCGATATTTTGTTTAAATAATAAACTGCACAAACTCTACTGCAACAAATATACTTATACTGAAATATCTTCACCTTCACTTATTTCCAACCAGATTGCTTCCTTACTTCCATCAGCCCTGCGGCTAAAAATAGTCCTGATATCCACAGGTTCAGATAACATGTGGGCGACTTTGAACAGAAATATGAAATGTACTTTTAGATGTGTAACAACTTCTTCCTTTGAAATCCTGCATCTCATTAAATATGAAAATACAAAATCTATTCCTGAAAATCACACAAACCACAAGGAGTTCGAAGGTTCCTTCAACCCCGTTGAACCAGATATAACGGGATTGCTGACAGCATAAGACTGATGTTAAATAATTTACAATCAGTAATGTTTAGTTTACAAACAGACATCCACCATAAATGTGATCTCAAGACTGTCGTGCCTTACGTTCTTTCTGAACTAAAGTGCAGAGAAGGGCAGACGAGTGATGAAAGTTGTTTTTACTCCTATCTATCTATGTGAATCTCAAAAAGCCCAAACTCTCAGAGTTATTAACTCTATCCAGGAGCATCAGGCTTGCAAAAAATAGGAATTGCTGGTAGCCAGGTTAAAGCTTCTACGGCTCACACGCTTGATGATTTAGAGAGGGTAAAGGCAGGTTGCATTGCTGTGCGATCCCAGTCTGCTTCGTGTTTGCTGAGCTCAGTCGGAGCAGGAATTGGATGCTACAGTGCTCCCTGGAATAGGAAGAATACAATCCATCCCGAGATCACTTCTGGAAGATGAGTGTTTGTGAATACTCGGTGACAAGAGGATCAGTGTCAGCTGTGACGCCTCCTATGGTCACAGAGCACGATATTAAGGTTCGCGCAGGATTATTGGCGAGGTGATAGAGGGTAGGGAAATGAATCAAATGCCCTCAGGAGGGTAGGAGGGAATAGCGAGACAGTTGGAGAATAGAAATGGGCAGAGCTTTGTGAAAAAAAAAGTGATAAAATTTAGGTTTATAATCCTTTAAATTTAGATTGGCGTATTCTCCTGCTACAATAATGTCCTGAAGTTCAATTCTTATGAGGAATCGAAGAAACACGGTGATTGCAATGTCCGCGTAACTAACGAGAAGTCCCGGTGGAAACGTGCATGGGAACATTTACCACCAAATGGAACCTCAATAAACTGCCGTAGCTTTTTGGCATTTGACTTTTGAGGTATGCAGAGCGCGTCAGGAAGGGAATGGGAGGTTCGATCCAGCGGCAAAGCTGGGAGTGGAAATTTGGCCATTGCTTGTCCACCTTAAGTTGGTGCTCTCCCAAAATTTCCATTCCAAGCTACACCACTGGGACGAAAAGGCAGAAAGTAAAATCAAAGAGGCTGCCTTCTCTCTGCCCTCGGCCCTCACCGTAAAACCAGAGGCTAAAATTCCTCGTGGCTTCAGCATTTAAGTGGAGTTATCTTGAAATTTTTAAATGGCGCGAGCGTTCTTGAAAGTTCTGCAATCCGATCTCAATTCGGAAACCACCTTTCCACAGTTCGTTTTAAATCCCTTTCAAAACTACACCCAGAAAGAAACGGAGAAGTCTTAGTGCAGTAGTCAAGAACCTACGTGGTGAAAATGCTCTCCCTCTGAGTCGTGCTTCCATTTACAAAGCTTGTTGTTCCTAGAAAGAACTTGCTAGGTCTCTTATCCTGATCGATGGTATGTTTTGGCCCTTTAGCTGCCTGCCCGCTCTCAAGTTTCTGTTAATATTTCCAATCCAGCACTCCTGGGCACTTTAGTTCACCATTGATTGTTCAAACCAGCACCACTTTGTAAAGCAAGCAATTTCTTCTATGAAATCTTGTGTTCAGTGACCTTCTGGCTATTAGGGATTGGGATAAACGGGACCCAAAGAATTTGTTCAGATAATCAATGCTTTCATCATTTAAAAGTAGCACCAGGGTGTAATTTTTTTTGTTAATGCACCACTTTCGATCATTGAAAGTCCACTGGATTCTCTTTAAAACAAGTTTTAATAAAACTGTTCTAAAGTAAACACATCTATCTCATCCCGCAATTATTATAGGTGTGCATTAGAACTCATAACCATTCATTTTATTCAACACATCTCTCTCTGATGGCATTCTCCTGAAGCTTATACAGCATATCATTCTGAAAAATAATCAGGTATTATATACTCACCAGAGTATTAGGTTTAAAATCACTTCCAGTCATGTTTCCACTTACAATGCATTAACGCTTGTTGTCCCTAGAAAGAACTTAGGTTTTTTTTCTCGTGATTGACGGGTATGCTATTATACTTGTTCTTTTCGAGTTGATTTAATATCCATGAAGAAAATGTGTTCCAAAGCAACATGAAAGAAACCTGGCTGGTTCTCGTGTTGACTGCTGAGATTGTCTCGGTGCTGAATATTACAGGCTAGGACAATGCCTCCCTCAAATATTACTAATAATTAATATAAAATGTGTTCTCACAGCACTAATTCGGCATCGAAGAGTTGGTGTAACTTTGATTTCAAGCACAGGATCTAAACAGTATTCACCTGATGTTTCTAGCACAAGCAGCTTCCTACCAAAAAGTCAATAGCGACCCTATTATCTCAACAAAATCATCATTTTAAGACTTGTGAGACAGTGTAATGGTATCATGACTTTTTGGTCACCCTGTATTTAAGGGCCACCTCCCTCTGATTAACAACCATGTTGTCATAAATTTGGTTCCCCTCCATTGATTTATACTTGCCATAATAATAATAATAATAATTATCCCATCCGTGTGTTTTGTGATTCTCAGTTTAGCTGAGCTATCTTATAATCATTGCTTTCCGCACGTGTTACACACCCAACTCACCAAAGAAACTTACTAACAAATGCAAAGATATAAAGTAATAACCCCACTTTCAGCCGAAGCGACTGATGCGCGGGATACACAATCGTCACGAAAGAGGGGAAACCTCGTTATAGTGAACCTTTCTGGGTCCGTTAGCTCTTGTGGAAAAATGGCCGACTTCCCAGTCGTCAGATCGTTGTTCCATCACTTCCTGCGCGCTGCGGGCAGCGCTCGGGAAGTGATGTCAGTGCTGACCTGACGGGCATTTTGTCGTGAATGGAATCCCATCGCGTCGACAACCGTTGCCCGAATCCCACATTCAGAAATACCTTCAGGCTCGGAACACCGCGAGAGATTCCGCAAACCGGCAGGAATAGGGATAAAGCTAATTAATGATCCGCTCGCTTATTTATTTATCTATGTATTTAATTATTTGTAACCCCTCTGAAGGCGGGAAGTGACAGGGTCCATTAAAATACCACCGAGTGCTATTAAGGTACACGCATAACCAGCTGTGCCCCACCATTCTACTGTTGGAAGGAAACGATAGAATAACAAATAATTATCTAATTTTCGGAAAAAAAAGAGAACGCACAGCAAGGCTGGGCTCCACCGCACTGTGCCACAGAACGATAAGTATGGGGTTTGCCTCGACACACAGTCCCCTATGTCTTTGTCCCCAATTTGATCTGTGCATTTATGGGCAGAGTTCTGAGCGGAAACCAGGTACTTTCCCCTCGGGAAGGAATTAAAGCCAGAAAGAGTCCTCTCACCTTTCTCACACTTCCCAATAGCGTGGCCCCGAAAAAATTTGGAATCAGGCCCCTTTTTTTTGGCCAAGGAAAATCTTTGGCACAGCGAGAGGGAGGAATAGAATAAGAGTCTGAATGGTGGTTGTTCTTAATAAGGAATTCAAGTCACCCGAACGAGGGAGGGCCCCAGAAATATGTCAAGTCGAGCCATAGTAACTCTGCACAACACGTCTTTTGTGGAGCAAAGTTCCCGCAGATCCAAACGAATTGCACCAGTTATTCCTTATTAAGGAATCCCGTTAAAAACACCAGGAGTGAGACCTCAGTATACCTTCATAATACTGTCCCAGTCTGATAATGTGTCTGCCTTGCATCTCGCCAGATCATTTGGAACGGTCTGTTTCATCGACTGGTTCATTTGATCCAGCCGACCCCAATCACAGTGACATTTTGTTTCCTCTCCATTGTGTTATCCATTTAACATAACTGTTCCAGACATAAATGTTGCATCTGTTTTGCCTTAACGATCAATGGATGGATGGTAAACTATTGAAAATACTTTTTAATCAGACACAGAGCGACTGTTAAAGCCGAATTTTTTTTCCCCCATTTTGTTTCGCTTGATCCCCAGGAAGCCTTCAGATACACATGGTGCTGCTGCTGTACCTGAGAGTTTCGAAGCACTGAGGTACCAGCGCGTGCGGAAGTCCAAGGAAGCAGTACAAATCACTTTAAAGGCACGGCGGAAAAACAGTGAGTGACATCCCGGGTGCGGAAGGGCTGGATATTGGAAACCACTTTGAAGAAGATCATAAATGAGTAAAGAGGCTTAACTAGAGGGCGCCTTCTTCCTAAACAAATTCAGATTGGATTTACATGCATTTAGAGCAAGGAACTTCAGAGCAGGTTTAAAAACGTTCCAGGGCACTGCTGATAAGCGCGCAGCCCAGTCTGGCTCATCGGCAGGACCTGGAAGGGCAGACCAGTCATTGGGGGCAGGGAGTCATTCCTCTCAGCTCCTGTTAACTCCTCCAAGCCAAAGCCTTAATGAGTAGGGTGGTCCTAGCTGGACGAGCTGCGGGAAAGCTTGCCAGACAGCAACATCGATGGCAAACCGTGCGGTTTGAGTGGGTTAGACTCCAGCGGTTCCTCCCAACGCCCACTCTCTCTGTAAACGTTTCGACTTTGATCGTTTTGTCGGGAAATCATTGGGGGAATTGATTTGAATTTCAGCATTAAAATACAAGAAGCAAAAGGCGATTCCACTGGAAAGAAATTCTCACGTGGTAACTCGCAGGGCACACGCGGTGGGTTATCTCTACTGCTTTTAAGAGAATCACAATTCGTCCGATTGTTGAACTGAGTTTGGAATTTGAAGCCGTTTATTTTCTGTATTTCTTGAAAGAAATCGTACAGGAGAAGAGAATTGATGACTGTATTTATCAATTTGCCAAATTCTGGACACTCTAAAATGCTACAATATTGGGATTTGAGTGGTAAACACAAATGAATACAACAAAAACGGTTCCTTTTTTGGGACAAAATAAAGCAGGTTATCAATCAGCGGAGCAGGATATATGCGATGCTGATATCAAACTGATGATAACACTTATCGAGCTCCGCTTCAGCACCTCTACAACAACAACAAAATTACACTTGTAAAGTGCCTTTCACGTCGGGAGGACGTCCCAAGGCGCTAGAACTCTAGAAGCAAAATCTGCGATTAATTTAGATTTTGTGATCCAACAAACGGTATTTTGTTTCACTGACCTCATCGCTGCTCCCCGTCTCCACACTGCTTTTAGCATTTCATTCAATCGACTCATTTCAGATAATATCTTCCTTTCCTGAACGAGGAAAATAAAGTGATATTTGAGTCTGTTTTTCCGCCAGTTGTAGTTTCGATTTTCTCCTAATTTCCCCCCAAAAGAAAATAACATGTGCTGGGCGCATCTCCAAGGGCAACAGCTGTGGTACAGCTCTGGCCATTCTGCATGTTAGTCCAGCAGATGGCTTGACTCTTGAGTGCAATCATAGTTATTAATAATAATAATAATCCTTGCATTTGATATAGTGCCTTAGCATGTCTTTTAGACTGTTTGTGGGACGTTGCTGTGCGTAATTGGCTGCAATTTTGCTGCCCACAAGATATACAGTCAATTAACATTACAGTATAACTTGGGAAGCGCTTTGAGACGTCTCCCAAGATGTGATAAGGCGCTGTCGCAAATGCAAGGATTATTATTGTTGTTATTGTTATGAACTGAGTTATTGGAATCGCTTCGAAGTGATTGTTTTCGGCACTCAGCTTTCAGTGAACGCGAATAAAACGAGAGGAATGTTATACTTGTAGAGTGTAGTTATCGTTCCTGCAGTTTTGTATCAGTCAACATGATTCCGATGCTTCAGGGAATTGTATTACAACATTGCCCACTCATCAGCTTCCTGTACAATATATAAATAAATATTGCTACCATTCCTAGTCCTTTACAACCAGTGGCTATATTAATCACTCCCACCGTAAAGAGCGTTCAACATTGCGCTTCAAATATCTGCCCACATGGCATTTTTGGGGCTGAAATTGCGCAATTATTATGGAATAATGCAGTTTGTACCCTGCACTGATATCCACTGAAAATGAGCTGGGGATTGCACAAACTCATTTTATTCAAAACCTCCTAATAGCCATCACTTGGGGCTCAAATAAAAAATAAGTTTGAAAGGAAATCGCCAAACAAGCTGCGAGAGACAGAGAGAGAGAGAGATTCGCTGGCACATTCTACAAGGTGACCAAAAAGTCGTGATATCTACCCTATTATTATCTAAAATATATATAATACATATATATGTATCATTTCTTTGAGACTTTATTAGACATTGTGATGGTATCACGACTTTTGGGTCACCCTGTACGTTAACAACAGCATGACAGCCATGGCATGATTTCTGTGCAAATAAAGGTTGGATGATTAATTGCACAATTCGTGTTTTGCAGCCCAAGGTCACATCGCGCGTAAGCACCAAGTTGTACTACGGGCCTTTGGCGATGCGACCGAGGTCTAGAAAATAAGGTATTGAGCAATAATCTCTAGATAGTTTCATCCAGGCATTTTTGCTTATATCGGCTTTGCTGTTACTTCCATCTTCTCCAAACGCTGTGGTCATTTGTAATATAAGAGTTGCTCGTTTGAAAATTGGGCTCAGGCTTCTGATCAGAACACAGAGATTCAGATAATCAGAACTGGAGAGAAATTAAGCTTTACCAGCCCATCACAACGTGGTCTTCTGGTCTGTGGGATACAGACTTAATTCACCAAAACCTTGAGTCAGTATCTTGCAAATTGAGATTCCAGCTCAATCTGGGGTTGGCAGGTGCATTGGCTTCAGACCCAACTATTCTTTTGCAACAGAGGCAGCCAATCCAATTCACACCAATCTTAACTCATCAACTGACCTGGTGGCCCATATTTAGCAATGACGTGTTAATTATCACTTGTGAAGTGAGCAAATTCCAAGTTGCGATTTTCACCCCTTCTTTGGTAAGTTTCAGAGTTCCTGAAAGATTACTCCAAACACATCAGTCCTCGTCACCTAATAACCTTGAATCCTTTTAATTTTCAGGGACTTATCCAGTTTCTGTTTGAAATCCTTTATATTGCTTCAGTGCGTTGGGAAAGAAGTCTCCTTAGAAACATTATTTACTCTCAGAGAAACCATGGCAACTGTCCCTTGGCGCACTACAGTTGACAGCTTCTAGCCTGAGAGTTGGAATGCTGATGTGATTAAGGGCCCTGACTGCGTTATTCAGTGATAACTAAAATTTTGTTAGCATCTAACGGAATTCTTTTGTGTTTTTGGTTAGGTTTTTCAACCTCCCAGGTCCAGCAGCCCCATGAATCTCAGGTTCTCCAGTCCCAAGACATTGTCTACCTCCAGAAGAAGAAGAGACACTCCCTCCAGGACTCTCGTGCTTGCTTCTCTGCCCTGAAAGAAGAGTTTCACAAGTACAGACACCAGCTTGAGGATGAGAAGACCATTCTGGTTCGGGCGGATTATGACGAACAGGAGCAGGCAACCTTGTTATAGTACTAGCTAATAGTCTAACTATCTCCTTGTAATTTTTCTCCGTCCAGAGTAATCAGGTCCAGGTCCCTGTGGTAGAAGTTAGCCTTGTTGGTCTCAGTGGTAATAAACAGCCGTGCTAGCTACTTGCTCCTCAAAAAAGTATCAACACAGTATTATTATATACAGTATCCCGTAAAAGGTCTATCTAAAGGGTGGCAATATTTTGTCTTGTCAGCCTAACTGATTTAGTTTTAAGTGCTTATACAATTTGGTGTGAAGGTGCAGATTATTTTGTAATTATTTGATGTCATTCATTTGAAATTACATCCAATGGAGGGGGAATGAGGTGATTTGTCAGCCTGTCAACAGAACCAGAGCCCTTCCCTCCGGGAATCATTTCATGTAATGCCATTCTGCCAAAAGCCGTTCAACAAATGGTGGTCATATCCTGTGGAATGATACATGTGTTTGATAGATCCCGATACTTTGTGATGTCAAGTTACTCGATTTCCAATTTTATTGGGGCCACTTAATACGGTGCCACATCAGAAGCTTCACCTTCTTGTCTTTGTGCAGCAAAACCGACCGAACAGTGAAGTGCAATGTCTTCATGCGTGGTAAGACTTGAGTTGAAACTTTAATTATCAAAAGTACTTGGACTCGCTGTGGTTCACGGATATTTTCCATCTAACCTTTTACCACTCGCCTTTCGTTTTTACTGTTAAAAAAAATCTTCATATTGCATTAAATGTTCGAAGAAAAAGCCACAGCAGACCTTTTGTTAGATTCCGTTGTGTCCCAAATCGATTCGAAACCGTTTCCGATTGAGGACGATATGATTTTTGAACTATATGATATGCTTTCGCTCTGTACGTCATGGTATGGAGGCTGTGTGACATTTCTGAGTGGGATAAACCCCATTCGGAAAAAGTGTGCAACAAAATATTTTCAACTCACCCACGTAATTAACAAGGTTTTGAGCTGAGGTTCACAACAAGTGCAGCGGTTGTCGAGTGTCCGGGTGAATGCAATACGCCGGTGAAGAGGTTATCGGATGACACTATTCAAGGTAGAGATAACAGTGCAATTTGATTTCTTTCTGTCCCAAGACCTACACCAAACGGTCACTATGGGTTGCCATGTTGCTGTGTTTTGTGATGTTTCGATACAGTGAGGTGCTATGAAAATTCCAGTTCTTTCTTTCCTGTGAAAAAAATAAAACAACATTTATTATCTTTGTCGGTGTGTAGGGGAAGTTTTAAATTCGCTTTCATGGGATAGCGAGTCGGGCTTATTTACTCGTCGCACTTGTTAATCAAACCACCAGACTTTGTTTGTAACCTAAGTTGCTTTGTTTTTTTTTAAAAAAAAATATTCTCTGTGTGGTTCCAGAACCTGTGCACATCAATCCAGTACCTCAGCAGGTTGTTACCCACATTGGGATCTGGGTTGTACCACTGTGATAGAAAATGCCTGCATTGATTTTAACATGGTAAACCCATGACCTGCATCAGTGCACTTTTTGGAGACTGAAGCTGGCATTCACTATCACGGTGTCGACCAATAAACCAGTTTAAGAATGGTAGTGCTGGCGGCCGATGACTGAAATGAAATGTGTTAGGTTCCTTGCCTTGCAGTCGAGGTTATGTCAATGGTCAGGATCTGCATGTGTGTGGGAATCCCGCCCCTCTTTTTCTCTCTCTCTTCCCCTGGCTCGTTGTCAGACTCGGCCACGTCAAGCGCTCCGGGACTCTACCCTGAGTCTACCCTACCCTGTGAAAGGCGCTGTGTAAATTCAAGGCAAGTTGTCGTTGAACCAAAATCGCTTCGCTCGATCCAAAGACGCGTTGAATTTTGGCTCTCGATGACCGGCTCGAGTTGGGCACGTGTGCGCCCTTCGTGCGGTGATGATGGGATTCGAACCATGAGTTCTGAAAAGTGCTAACCGCAAAATTTACGTCGCTGGAGTAACATTTCATTTATAAATCTGTCCTTTAATGAAGTGACACCCGGAAAAAGAAATTACTGAAATAAATGAAACAAATCAAATTTAGCACCTTTTTAGATAATATATGTTTTTATATGTTTACAATACGTTTGCGAGGAAGGAGGGGGAAGAGGATGAAAGAGGCTAACATTAATGTCTGGTATTGGCCAGAATTAATTTGTAACCCCTACAGTCAGCACTTAGTTTGAGTGTTATGTGAAACGCGTTAATACACGTGACTCTTTTCGCTTTGACAAGCATATATTTAGGATCGCTGCAGGCAGCAGCATCCTGTCCCTGTTCCGGCTATCGTCTTTAAGGTTTGTTCGGGGGCACTGCAGCACCATCAAGATGCAAACTTCATTCCACCCAGAATTAGAGCTGCCTCTTAATCACAAACAACTGTCCTCTCCCAGCAGACGGGCTGTTAAATACACAAGATGGAAGCTGTGCGTGGGTGTGTGTGAGTTCTAGTATAGTAAAAACATCACTGCAACAGAGTGTGTGTGTGTGTTAAAAAAAAAATGTAATTCCAACAGATTACGTTAGATGATGCGATTTATAAAAATCCACTGGAGGAAATATTTGCCGATAAAAGGGAATTGCCGCTTGGAATCATGACAATTTATTCTGCGAAATATCAGTGTGGATAAATTGTCGTTCTGTGAAAGACTGCGGTGCGTGAGATGTTTGTGGTCTAAGCGCTCTGGGACACTACCCCATGTGAAGGGCCCTATATAAACGCAAGTTGTTGTTGCTGTGGTTTCACGGCTTGTCATCGCCAGCTTCTAAAACTCAGACAGGATGTTCTATATCTGAATCAGATGCAGAGAGACAAATACCTGTAGTGATTGATGTCCTTGGGCGAAGACTCCCACACATCCCATGAATCACACTGTTATTGCGCTGTATCTGTGGAGAAAAATGACTTAGATTGAATTGTTCAGAGTTGAACATCAGTGTGGGTGGTACGAATAGGTTTCTTGTCAGTGAATGGTGATTCCCTGAGTTATCCGAAACATTTCATAGTGACCTTAATTTTTTTTAAAAAAATTTTGCCTGAAAGGAATGGTGAATAAGCATCATATCATTTCACCGGATGACCAATTATATTGTCAAAAACAAGTGCAAAACATACACTTAAATAATAATTTTGCTGATTTGTATTTAATCGCCTCTCTATAAAAACAGTCATTTTTGAAAGTATTTTTTTTTTGGAGTTTAAAATATGAGTGTAATTTGTGATACGAGACAAATGAAATGAGAGCAGTTTTCGCCTGTTCCCAAAAATGTGGGTTAGATCATTTTTTTTCCCCCTCTTTATAGCAAAAAAAAACCCCTTATGCACTGAAACCATTCATTTTTTTTACAGGTGCTTTATTACTGATGCATGACACTTGTGTACAGTGAATAAATGTATAGGATGATGAAAGTGAATTTTGCCTGGAACAAAAATGTAGAAAGGAGTCGATTGTAGGATGTAGTGTTTAGCAGAAAGCAGAACGAATCTGCCACATGGTAAAGCTTCGGGGTGTAATTTTTTAATACGGGGAGGATTTCTTCAAGGTAATCGACCTTAAATTGGAGGTGGTCATTGAAATCGAGATGTTCTCTAATTCTAAGGATAGCGAGCGGTGTGATACCTTAAAATAGTGAACACGAGTGTGCGAAAAGTCCCAACAATCTGGTGCCGAATAGGATGCAATACAAAGTTAAATCTGTGGGTAGCGCCTTTCGCGTCGGGAGGATGTCCCAAGGCGCCGGCCAGTCAGGGATTTGAACCCGAGCTGGTGGGGTGTTGGGATAAGGTAGGGTGGAGGGCAGGGAGGGTAAATGTGGGTTTGAGTCACAGACGCAGCTACAGTACAGCCGCATTTTAACACGTCAGAAATGTGTTTGTAGCACTGAGATGAGTGGGACATGGACCCCTGGGCTTGTGTGTAGTCGGGTGACGTGCTTCCCATGCTTAAAAAATAACCGAGTTTGATTCCTGCGCCTTATGCTGACACGTGAAGTGGTGAACCCAAGGTTTAGCCATACACTATAACATGGCTGACTTCTGGGGCATCAGATGCTGCTGACATTACTCTCTGTTGCACTTACACAGCGGGCAAGAAGTGGCAGCGAGCGACCCCGAGACTTGAATCTCGGCCAGTGTTTTAGCGTGTGAGCACAGGGAAGTGAGCCAGGATTAACCCAGCTATTGTGACTTCTTTGTAAGGAAGATTGGGATTTGTGGGCCCTCCAACTAATGCCTACGAACAACACTGTACAAACTGGAAGCAATTTTATCAATTAATCTAAAGATGCAGTACTTACTGAAATGGAGCATTTTGAAGCGCAATAGAAAACACAAGGATTACCTGCTTTCCCCACGTTCCACAATCGATCCAACTTGTATTACTCCACATGACTCCATCGTTACATACCTCCAGACCTGTTTGTTACATGTCATACTTGTGACCTGGTAGAATGGTATCCTTATGATAGGAAAAGAGTACGTGGGATCAAATAGAAACATAGAAAAATTGAAATAGTAGTAGGCATTTCAGTCCCTCAAGATATTCTATCATTCTGTAAGATCATGGCTGATCTGTACCTCAAATCCAATTACCCGCCCTTACCCCATATCCCTTCATGCCCTGACCTGACTGAGGTGGATAGACTGACATCTATCCACCTCAGTCTTGAAACTGAGAGATCTTTGAAGTGAGAGGTCAGGCCAATCCAGTCTTGGGTGAATGGATCCAGCATCCACTGCCTTTTGAGGGAGAGAGTTCCAGATTTCCACTACCCTTTGGGTGAAAAACTGCCTCCTGATTTCACTCCTAAATGGCCTAACTCTAATTTTAAGATTATGCCCCCTTGTTCTGGATTCGCTCACCAGAGGAAGTAGCTTATCTGTATCTCGGCTGACCAATTAATCCCTATCCAGTGGGTTCCTGGAAAATCCATGTTTGTACATATTGGATTAGGTTGAGCTATGATGCTCCCCTTCCTCAACCCGGGTGAGGTACTGGGTGAGCACCTGGTGAATCAAAACCCAGCAAGATGTCGTCTTGCCCGAAAGCCAGAGAAAGTAAAGATGTTCCCAGTTGTATGAAGCACGGCTAAAGAAAAGTAAATTTATTCTCAGAACAGCAACAAAGATTAAGGGGAGATAGGATATGAGGTCATAAAAATAATGAACAAAATTGATAAAGTTGATGGTCTTTTGCAATACTTGGGTAGGAGAACGAGGTTATAAAGCTCTGTGATTGGAAACTGAAAGAAGGCGCAATTTCTTCTGCCTCGGTTGCCAATGGGTGGGAAATGCTGCCACCTGGTGCGACAGAATGGGCTAAATTCTGATTGAAGAGAGGATGAGGGTAACGTGAACTCGAGGTAAGAAAAAAAAAGATTTAAAAAAATAATCAACCGGAAAATTAATCATACAATTAATCTTGCTCAGTTTCTTGCACGGTTCTGGAGATTGGTCTCTCAATTGATCCAAACAGAAGAAACGCTGTTTCAATACTCCAGAGATGTCCTCCATGCCAATGTATAATGAATTGTACCATTGTGCAATGCTTATCAGGAGATGAGCACATCTGCGACCCCTGAGACTTTGTTATTGACGTGCAAAAGGCAGCCATTCAAATCCTCACCACTCGAGCAGAACAAACCCGACTTCCTGAACATTTTGGCCGTACAAGTCCTTCCTGTTCATGGTCGACAGAGGATTTCTGGTCAGAGTTTGGATAGTAACATCTATCGTTGCAGCCCCTGAAGTGGAAAAACCCTGGAAAGGAAACAACATGGTCAAAGCCAAGCTGTTGTTCTTTATCACTGTTTCCAAAGCTGATGTATCTTTGGGCTCTCACGTACGTCTGGTCAAACTGTTCAGTGAACTGACTGATTCTTTCCACGTCTTTCCCTGGACTTTGGACCGAGGCAGTCAAGTAAATGTTGAGAGCAACTGTTACTTTGAGGTCTATGGCAACACTACAGAGTAAGGCAGTAGATCAGACAGCCCCCTTCGAAGCCTGAAGCCTGTGCTGTTTCGAACAGCTGT